CCCTCTCGATACTGAAGATGGTGATCAGATGGCCAGAAAGAATAACCTACAAGGAACTTTGGCCGGCTGGTAACGAACCAAACAAGAACCCATCACCCAACAAATATGCAGAAGAACAAAGTGGAGATGGATTGGATTGGACATACACTGAGAAAACCATTCGGATACATCACACACCACGCCAGGTCATCAAGTGGGATTCAAAGGGAAAACGACGAGTTGGGCATCCGAGTGTGACATGGAGCAGATGATGTGAGGAAGAAATGAGAGCTGCTGGGCAGTCGTGGAGCCAGGTGGTAACAGAGTGCAGAGAACAGAGTGAAATGGAGACGTACAACTGAAGCCCTACGTTCCACTAGGAACCCAAGAGACAAATAATTGTTCTCTCCGGCTTCTTTTCTGCTATGAATAATACAATTTTCTATGCATCCGGAATGGGTGATGAGTCATTCGCTTTGCATATGTTCAGTGTTGGTTCGATAAGTGAAGATACAATTATCAATCTCTCCCCTCCATTCTGATAAGTTAGTTCTAAGGATTTTCACTCTATCCTATCCTATTGTATCATTGTGTGCAATTGTAGGCATAGCAATGACGCAACGTTTTTATAAATTCGTTATCTTATTCTATAAGATAAACTAATTTTGACCTAAATAGGTTTTCGTGTTTCTATGCATTCTAATTGAGCCTGGTCAACTAATTTGACCTATGACACATTTGAACCCGCAGTCATTACCAAAGATTTGGTAAACTAAATTATTTTGCTTAATTGGATCAACAGGATCTTCTAACCTATAAAGGTTTTTTTTCGAAACAAATCAGTTGATTCAATAAACAGAGTCTGATGAATAATTCTACCAGCTGTACGTAGCATATTGCAGACTTTTGGATCCTTTCCAGAAATAGTTAGTACACACAGACCACTAGTAATGGAATAAAACGTACTGTCCGTGTTTGAAGAACAAAACAGTGTCATATTGTAAGCGAAAAAAATATAAGAATCTTATTTGAAGCTGATCAGATGACTGTCATAGATAACTAGCGTTAAAACAGATGGGTGAATGTCAAATCTGAACCTCAGTAAAAATGTCATCACTCATTGAAGTCGACGGTGAATTTGACTAATATCATTCCTGGATCAGATGGAATTTCTATCTAAGATTTCATTGTTAATTTGCAGTAATTCACATAGTTCTGGGCTGTCGTGGAACCAGGTTCAAAAGATCTCAGAGAACAGAGGTCACTGGAGGCGTGCTACTGAAGCCCTATGTTCCACTAGGAACCCAAGGGACTAATAATAATAATAATTCACATAGTTAATCAGTTCAGATATCTGAGATGGGCGTGTAGGAGTAAAGCTTAAACCCTGTAGTTGAATGTAATTCCATTTTAGTTGATGTATGTAGGTGTATGACAAATGGTGAAGGAACAGTATTGTATACCGAAGACATCAAGATTAGCTCCACAACTATGAGACATCTTCCTTGACTCCTTTGTAATATGGGTTATAAGATTATCCATATATCTGGAAGACATGTTCAGTCATTCCTATTGATGGATGTACTAGGTGTTGATTCAATAAACTATGATGATTTGCTTGTCAATCTCTCCATCCGCCCAACTTCATTACTTGCTATTATCGTGTGTTATTGAATGTGTAGCTATGGCAGAGACTATTCCTGCTAGATTCCCCTTCTTACTAGCATCAACTAATTCTGAACTAGCTAAGTTTTTGTCCTTGGATAGCCTAATTGAGCCTGGTCAACTATTTTCATCTGCTGCATATTTAACATAGCAATCGTTCCAAGGGGTCCGGTAAACCAATCTATTCCCCTTAATTGGATCAATAAGATGGTTTTACCTACAAAGCTTGTTTCCAAGCTAGTTTGTTGTTTTAAATGATACTCTGTTCCCAGTCAGCCTTGTTGACAATCCTATGTGATGTCTTTTTTCTCACTATTCCCAATATTATTGCTACTATTTACACCTATTTTACTAGTATTAGTTATATTGTATTGTATCTGGTTTCTTGGTTTACATCTTCTGTTTTTCTTGAAAGTTTCCTAGCTCCCTTATTTAGACACTTTACTAGGCCAAGTTTAACCTACTTGCTTAGAGTGAGACCATGTGAAGTCTAAGTAACAATATGAATGTGAAGGTTTTCTGCTATAGATACTCGTGTCTAACCTACCATCTTGTTTTCATTTAATTCTCCAATCGAACATCACTACTTCCTTTATTGATGTTCCATTTCCCTTCTTTGAGTTTATTGTCAGTATACTATGTTTTATGAGTTCTCTGACCTTCTTATAGATAATTTTATGTAACATTTTTCAATGTATAGAAGGTATGTTTTTTCCTCTCTCCCCTTCTTTTCTTTGTAGATTTCTCCATCTATGATTATCAGTGAATCTTTCTTAATGTATGAAGAAATTTACTGTGCGTTTTTGTGTCTTCAATTGCGTAATATGCATATCATCTTTCTATTCAAGGAGATATGTTAGTCTGATGTAAACTGACATTTTAAACGATTTCATATTTTCGGTAGTACTCATCACAAAGGATCATTAAAAACATTTAGGAGTATTGGAAAAAAATCTGACTCTTCAGTTTGATCTTTGGTGATGTGGTGGGTGAGCACCGTTGAACAATCTCCACTTTTCCAAATCCTCTTAACATGTTAGCGATGGATTCCGAAATTTGTTATGGCCATCTTGGCTAGCCACCTTTACATGTTCAAAAATAATTTGTTATCACATTAAACCTCCCTTGGATATATATATAATTCAAATCTAGTAATTGACGTTTTAAGGAATATACTACTTTAGAAATTGTCCTTCTGTAAACTTGACAAACGCAGAGTCCAATCAGTAATTATTCGTACTTGTTATATACCCACGGATGTAAGACCAAGCTGAAAAACAGTGGCATAGCCAGATGGGAACAGTATATTTGAGAAACTGTGGCGAAGTACCGGTGCGTTCTGACTAGAGGGTCGATTACAAGCAGTGCAACGCAACATGATAGTATGTCAAATGTTTCGAATGTTTGACCGTGTGTCTTCAGCTTAGCAAGTCCGATAAAACTATGGAAATCACTAGCTTCTTATTCAAGGGTATCGATGCAACTACACACAGCCACAGAATACGATGAGCCAATGTGACAGCCCTAAAAATTCACCAACTCAGATGGAGGGACATATTGATAACCGGATCATCATAGTTTATTGAATCAATCAATAGCAATGACTGAACATCTGTTCCAGATATATGGATAATCTTATAACCCATATTACAAAGGAGTCAAGGAAGATGTCTCATAGTTGTGGAGCTAATCTTGATGTGTTCGGTATACAATACTGTTCCTTCACCATTTGTCATACACCTACATACATCAACTAAAATGGAATTACATTCAACTACAGGGTTTAAGCTTTACTCCTACACACCCATCTCAGATATCTGAACTGATTAACTATGTGAATTACTGCAAATTAACAATGAAATCTTAGATAGAAATTCCATCTGATCCAGGAATGATATTAGTCAAATTCACCGTCGACTTCAATGAGGTTGGGATTTGACACTCACCCATCAGTTTCAACGCTAGCTACCTACCTCTGACCATCACTTGCTCAGCTTCAAATAGGATTCTAATGTTTTTCCGCTTTCTATATGACACTATTTTATTCTTCAAACAAGAACAGTACACATCTATTACTTTCTATGCCAGCACTACTGTTTTGTGTGTACTAACCAGTTAGAAATACGTTAGATTCTACCGTTGGCAGAATTACTTATCGGACACTATTTGGGATGTAATGTGCTATCTGCAATCTAACCCAACCCTACTATAATCACAACGCTATATAACATTTTAGAGAAAAAAAGGGAGAGGAATTACGACTTAATGATTTGAGTTATTGGTGAAGGTCTAATGTTTTTATCATTTGTATGTATATATCGTTTAACTTTCGATTCATGCATCCGTCCAAATCAATATAGGATCAAGTAGTACTGTGTAACGGTCCGACTTCCCACACTTCATATCAGTACATCAAGTAAAAACCAGTGAAGTGTAAGGTGAAGCAAAAAAAATTCAGTCAAAAGAAATACAAAACACAAAAAGAGAGAAAGGAAGAACAAGAGAATGGTGAAATTCGGTATATCGTTGAGATGAGGATAATGTGTGAGGGGGGAATCATCTGCGCCACTCACATCAGTTTGTAGTCAGATCATCTAGAGTCTCTAACCACTGTTGATTTCTCTTGTCCAATGGACCCCAACTAGCTAGGCAGATGGTGAATAGGTTTACGTAATACATATCCCAAGCATCTCAGTCGATGAACGTCCACAACATGTCAACTGATTAACCTCTTCTCTCTAAAACTCTACACCTGACTTCTGCGTTACTCAAAAGCCTGAAGCCTTCTCATGTCCTTCACCTTCAACTGTAGCGTGAACAACATCCAGATTTTCAACATCAATTCAGTCAAGTCAGTGCTTCTATGTGATGGTTGAGACACTTGGCGCCTTACAAAAAACATTTCCAACAAACTGCACACATACATCATCAACAGCTGCTATTTATGCCCACTCCATACTCAAGATCAGGTCAGATGGCCAGAAAGAATAAGCAAGGAGAAATTGTGGCTGACTGGCAACGAACCAACCGACGAAGAAGCTATCACCCAACAAATATGCATTAGAAGAAAGTGAAGATGGATTCAACATACACTGAGAAGACTATTAGGGGACATCATGCTCCAGGCCAAGCCATCGAGTGGAACCCACGTGGGAAACGATGAGTTGGACATCCAAGGCTGACATGTAGGAGATAGTGTGAAGAAGAAATGAAAGGTTATGGTCAGTCGTGGAGCCAGGTGGGACCAGAGTACAAAGAACAGAGTGAAATGGGGACGTACAATTGAAGCCTTATGCTCCACTAGGAACCCCAGGGGACAAATAATAATAATAATAGTATACAGATATGAGACTTACCCAAGATTTGGCGTAAAGTTGATTTAACTTCTTGATGATTTTTTGATTTAGAACATTCATTTGTTCCATGTTTGAATAATTGTAAAATAATTTCATGAGTATTTGGATTTGGAAAAAGAATTTCAGCATTCAACTTCTCACAATCAAAAGTTACAGGTGTAGCTAAAGTGAATTTATTCAAAGTTATTTATTATTTTAACTATAACTTACACCTTAATTTAGAGTCAACAGAATCAATATCATCTCCAATTAGACCAGCAACAACACAACGAAGAGATTTAATTGTTCTTGCAATAAAAGTTGTTCTCATACTAAACGAAACAAACACAAAAAAATAATAAGTAGAATTATTCTATTTAATAAATTCATATACTAGAACTGTGATGGTTCAAATGTTTTTGATAGGAAATTACAATTTTTCCCTGTGTATTGCTTCTTCAGACGAATTCCCAAATTATAAGCATCTTGTTGACCACCTTTAGTTAACTCACCAACTCTATTACCACCCTAAATAAAGAGAAATTAGATTGTTTTGTTTTGCAAAAGAAGTAGAAAAAAGTTATAAACTCTTACAGGTAGAACATATAATCTGTTTAAGTAGTCTGGAGTAAGTTCCACTTGTTTTTGTGTAGAAATATCAACTAAACGATATGGATATAAAGTATGCGGTAAATCTGTAGATAAATCTGGGGACCATATTGCCTAAATGAAATGAATATAAATAATCGACAACAACAAAAAAAGGTATACCTCAGGAACAACATTGGACTTCACATGGAACAATGGTGTTCTTGCACCATGACGAAAGAACACTTGAACTTGTAATAGTTTCATAGAATCTTCCCTACAATCAGGTGTATTACCGATAAATGAATAGGCACTCACATTGCCAAAACAAAACACTGAAAGAAAGATAGATAGGAAATACAAAATTAATATGAGATTTATATATATATATATATATGATAAACTTATTCTACTTAACTTTTCCCATAATTTACTTATTCGTTAAAACATTCCGTTGGGTGATGCACCAACAGATGCTTATTCCATGCAACTATCGTTCACTTCACAACGCCACATCATACACTGACCACCCTTCCACTTCTCCCATCCAGTCCCAACGCAAGTATAATCATCATCATCACGGTCAACATAGAAATAGGCATTACTGTGTAGCAGTACAAGTTGCCAAACTTCATCTCATCTTATATCAGCACATCAAGTAACTAGGCAATAAAATGTAAGATGAAGAAGGAAAGGAAAATCAGTCAAAGGAAGTAGAAGTAGGAAAAAAGCGGACGGACGAATGATACGATGGTAAAAGTAGGTATAGCGGTTAAGATGAGGATAATGTGTGCATGCATCTGCGCCACTGACATCGGTTCTGAGCCATATCATCATCTAGTCTCTAACCACTGATCCTGTGGACCCAAACCGACTAGTCTAGTCAAGGACTTCATGTATTGCCGCCGTATTTTTCTAGCATTAACCTACTTCGACCAGCATTGTCCAACGAGGCAGATAGTGGTTAAACATGCGTAATACATGTCCTAGCCATCTCAGTCGATGAAGATTCACAACCGCATCAACTGTTTTACCTCTTCTGATAGGGTTATTAATTAAGTATTTCCTGGCCAAGGGAGAGAGAAGATATCTACTAACTTCTTCTGAATACAAAAACTAAGATTATTAGCTCAAATCCCCAGTGTACGAGTTCGAATACCTTTCGAAAGATTAGGTAGTATGCTGTGAATACACATGAAAGCATTGTTCTGATCTACCAAGTGACCACTATCAACGAGATGACATAAAAACACTTCTGATGGATTTTATCTGTCCCTTTCTCAACCATGAAGGTAGATGCTCACCAACACGTCGGTTAAGTTGTTTATTAGTACATCCCACATAGAAATGGAAAATCTAATACCCTATCTTTTGTCTGAGTAACAACAACTGGTCGACTGGAAAATGATAGACGCAGAAATTCCTCCTAGTAGCTCCAGAAAGTTTCTGATATAAACTTCGGCTACATTTTCATGATGTTGAAATCTCATAAACAACAATTTCTTTTGTATGGCAATAATTCCAGGTTTGTTTCCCCTCGTTTTTTTCCATGTATCTTTTTATGAAACTGTTATAGTAGCCCATTTCGACCAATGAATTACCCATGTATCCTAACTCCTTCTGTATCAAATCATCCAAACATATTCCTCTCGTTCTGTTAGTCAGACAGTTAACTGGGTCTACTTTACACTAAGAACATGTGTGCTTACTGACTAATGAATGTAGTCTTCCTGTAAACACATTTATAGAGTAAACCATCTTCTCTTCTGATTGTTTATCCACTGACTTCGCCCCTCAGTATTACGCAACCTTTATTTTCTCAAGCATTTTACGCACTTTTATTATCAATGTTTACATTTTCATGCAGCTTTCTTGGTTCTTATCATCATCACCATTGTCATTCTTAAAACACTTATCACATTAACCGACAAACCTACATGATTGGTTTGATTTTTATATATATTAAGCCATTTGTATTAGAGTAAAGCATGAAGAGGATCTAAGTTAAAACAAAAGGCTCGATTGACTTTTGCCAATTTACGCCACCTATGGTGCCGCCGCGATATCCGTTTGTCTATCAAGGGTCGCGTGTACTGCACAGCAATCCACTCTCTTCTACTCTATGGCTGTGAAACATGGCCACTGAAAGTGGAAGATGTGGGAAGGCTTTAAATGTTTGACCACCGTTGCCTTCGTAGTATACCGTGATGTCACCACGTGAGTAACACAGAAGTCAGGAGTAAAGTTTTAGGGAGTAGAGGTAAGTCGGTTGACGAGGTTATGAACTTTCATCGAGTGAGATGGTTGGAACACGTACAACGTATGCCTAGTCACCGATTGCCTCGTCACACTGTTGGCCGAAGTAGGTCCAGACTGGAAAAAGGCCCAAGGCTGACAGCCTAAAACATGGCACCAATGTATAAAGTCTCCGACTGTTGATTGAGCCATGTGGGGCGATGCAGACTAAGTGGTTGGGGTCCACGGGACAAGGAGAACCATCGGTTGGAGACTCTAGGGGATATGATTCAGAACCGATGTCAGTGGCGCAGATGTATCCCCACACACATTATCCTCATCTTAACTACAACATACCGAATCTCACCATTTTGTCACTCCTCTTCCCTTTCTTCTCGTACTTTATATTTCTTTTGACTACATTCTCTTATCTTCATCCTTCACCTCACTACCTTTCTACTTGATGTACTGATATAAGGTGTGGCAACTCGGAGTGTTACGCAGTAATGTCTGGTCCTATGTTGATATTGATTGATTGACTGAAGTGAAAACAATATTGTTCGCTTATATGTCTTGTTCTGAAATATATTCACCTTCGGATTCACTAGTAGACGAATGGATATAGAATGGTCATAGTAGCATAAAAAAAGGGATTTATCAGAGATGAAATACATCAGTTACAGAAAGTAACACAATATTCTGCTACTCAGAGGTCGTTGTCATCACAAGCGCAGCTCAATATATTTGCTCAGTTGTAGAAAGGAAGCGAATCACATTTACCAATGGTTGTAAAATAAATCTGATAAATAAGGAGGCAAAAAAAAGTACCATTTTAACATCTAAAGAGAACCAACTTCTAAGTTGTAGTTATTTAATGCCATGATGTACATAGAAAACTTGGTTACGCTAGGTTTAAACATTCAGATACGATGCAGTGTTAGACCTGTCAACATTCCTCAAAGCCTTAATATCCTTCCTAGACAATAATAATGCTACAAATTTATTCTAAATATGTCATCATGTGAACTTGTAGACGGCATGGAAGATATCCACTAGTTTCGATCGACAAACGACTAACATCATTTGATCAGAGTCGGGTAACTTTCAGAGTCTGACTACTTAGATCATAGTTTGGGACTTATCACTTATTGGCTGAAAATAAGATGTTAACTTCAGTGAACTCATATGAATCTAAAACATAAACTTTATTGGACGCTGTAGTGCACATCAGGAATTTAGGAATGAAGGTTTAAGCCCCCTATTTCGAGTCAGGTCAAATATCATCAACCCAGAAGTATGGGAGTATGATTCACACAGTTGAACATCGATATTACACTACTAAACACCACACACACATACACACCCCGAAAAAAAGTAGTCTTAAACACCATGTCAGGAATATAAGAGTAAAACTTGGGCACTGTGGTCGATTGCAATTCCATTTTAGTCTGTTTCTTAGAACCAACAATAACAGAATCGATTGGAGTATACGTGATAAATACCGAGTCACTTTCTGCTTCGAAGTACAATATTAAGTTAATAGAGATTGAAGTAGACTGGAAAACAGGTGACGAACATATCACATCACGATGTGTAACAACATTCGACATAATCACTGACTATTGAGTTAATTCGTGCAGAAAAGTTTGGCTGATTTGACAACGGTCATTTGGTTACCACGAGCCAAAAGCTGAAAACCTGCAATGATACAACTAAAAACCAATTACTACAGCATAAATTTAAACACGATTCAGCGTCTTCGAAATTCCGAATATTTTATTCATTATTTTTCGCTTCATTTCATCTTATTTCTCTTTACAAAATATGATGACTTGATTGAATACTCCTTTATCGGTTCGTTTATAAATTGATACATGAAGAACAGTTCAATATTCACTAATATAATTCCTTTACATTCACTAGTCTGTCTTCTACAAGTTACTCTGAGGGTAACCAATGGTTGTCTAATAGATAAAGACATTTTAACTAGTTATAAAAAGTGGAAGCCTTTTCGCAACACCTGAAATAAATAAGTGGTAAACGAGATATTTATATAACAGCCGTTTGCAAGTAGTGAATTGTCTCCAAGAGATCTTTTGTCTCAGATTTCCAACTGAAGTTTATACAATTCTTGTCTTAAATTTATATTTTAGAGGCAGTAACTTTGAAAATTACTGTTACAACTGACTGTTTGAATAGTTAACAACCCAATATTAAAGTTTACCAATGTTTTTCAATTACACAGCTCTTATGACGTTGGTTAGTGTATGCGAATGAAATACGACCATGAAGCGAATCGTGAATAAACTTCTTCTTAAAGTAAATGAGTGTAAGTAACAAGAGTTTTTTCCTATTTTGAAAGATTTAAAATGAGGATCTTTATATATAAGGATTACATGAATTCTGCTGTGATGCAAAAGATGAATGGACGGTGGGGAAAAGAAGGCAACCAGTAAAGGGACCATTATGAATGGTTTGTTTACAAGTCGGATAAAAAGCCGTAAATTGTGCTGCGATAATACACTGTCAGTGGATAAGTTAACAGTTAGGAGAAAGCAGAAATAAAACAGAAAGAGAAACAACTTTTTAAACTCATTACTTTTCGTAAAAATAAGTACGATACAGATACATTTTCTTCACCCAACAAATATCACAAAGTGCCATTAAAAGTACATACTTTATGTGATTAAGTAAGCAGAAGTAGTTAAGGTAGACAATGTCGTCTAGCATAAAGGTTTAGCTTAAGCACTCGACTTTTAGACAATAAGCACTTGTTTCAAAATTCTCCTAGCTACGGTTGTCTGGACAACTAAGTATTATCAAAAAATTCGCCTGTCAAGTGTTGATCATACCTTAGTACAGAAACCTGTTTCCAGGTCTGAATAGACAGATAGTATCACTTTACCACACAATATGTAGGGCTTACTGTCAATTTCGGATAAATTTCATGTATGAAAAATGTATGAGCTATATCCAAATACTCTCGGAATTCAAAAATTCGAAATCTATGCAATGAACCTTTTTGGAAATGGAGATCAATATAAAACAACTGCTACTGGATGATAATGTAGCTCTTGGGAACATTTTATGGTGACCTTTGAAAATTGTTAAACCACTAAGTTGTATTTATAATTAAAGCAATTCCCTTTTAAAATCTAACGAATTGACAATCAACCTCAGTATTTATGAGTATAAAAATGTAGAACCCTCCGGAAGTTTTCAGCCTTATTATTGGCAATGCAGTTATGAAGTGGCAAGAACATTCCATCTTTGCAAACCTTTCATGCACAGATTTTCAGTAAGATGTCTTCATTTGGTAACTTTTAGCTCAACACCACACGTGACTGAAGTGCTTCGAGAAAAAAATTGGCTAAAAATGAGTCATTTATACAAGACGCTGCCCTTTAGGAGTTAAAACAGTGCCCGACTAACCGATTTAATCAGGTTATGCTTAAAAGGAAGCTCTTTCAAAGTTCTGGTCTCAAAATATAAAAACAACTGGCTGCACTGGATCTGTATCCTCTGGTCTACAGGAGGCTAAGAGGAGACTTGGTAATAACTCACAACATTCTCAGCACGCCTGGCCACCCACTCCGTCACTTACTAAATCTTAACTGCAGCACTAATCCTAGAGGATACACACAGACTCTAAGCCTGGAACATAGAAGGCACAAAATCTATTTCCCAAGAGTTATCAAACTCTGGAACGTTCTTCCCGAAGATGTGATCCAGGCTACTTCGTCTGAATCCTCTAAACGCCGACTGGATACCCAATTGACGTGTGTCTGGGATCTGTCCAGAACTAAATGAATTCTCACATTTTAACAGCAACTTTTTCCTCTTTCTCTACTTGTACTTAGGTTAACACCCGCAAGGAGTAGTGATCCACGGATTGTATACGTGGAAGCCAATTAAGCTTCTATTCCGTCAACAACCATATGTAACATTTAAAACAACAAGCATACCGGCGATGTTTTAATATCCACTCAATGAATCTTTCAAAACGTTTTTATTAACATGTGGTAATTCTAGTTCAGCAATCGCGACAATATCACAAACTAATCTGCTATTAGCTACTCTGTATTCATATGAGAAATGCAGATACATACTAGCTGTCTTAGCATCTTTTCAATAACGTATTTGACGCAACTAGTACCATCCCATAATATGAGATGACAGGTATGTAACCCATAGGCGGTCTTTTAAATGTAATCAAATGCCTAAAACGCATCAAATAAGCAGATAGTCAAGGAAGAGTACACCAGAAACAAGCGCTAAATGAATCCAAACAATATGACAATCGGTTGGATTTAAACTAAGACGTACAATGATATCTTTCGTTAGGACGAAAAAAACAATCTTCAGAAAGGAATAGCAATCTGTCACATATATTTCAATACCGTAACAAGAAGTGAGCCGCTAGGCATTCTTTTCATATCCGAACTGCAGTGATATACAGGGAATTTACTTTCAACATAGAGGAGCCTCAATGAATGGTCTTTTTCATTTCTCAGGTGACAAGATAAAAGGAAAGGTTCACCGGTCATCGACAAAATCATACCAAATCTGGACAAAGGAATCAATGTGAAATTTTGAGAACATGAAAATGTCATTCAAAAAAATATATGACAGACAAAAATAATAACTAGGTGAATGATGGTCTGAAGTACCACAGTGATAAAATATAAGTGAAAGAACAAACCTTTAGTCCATAAACGTTAGGTCAGAAAGCATTAGTAACAGGCGGTGAGGAGCCGTCCTTGTCCACTTTTCAATGTCTCCTCATAACATCAATATAAACAGAGAAAATACAATTGAAAAGAACCTGTGGTTTCTTAGATCCACCTTACACATGTCAAGGCTAGGTTCTCTTTTCTTGGTTAAACTGTTTTGGTGATCGTAAAAATCCTTATTTCCTTCCAATATCCAATATCCAATATTGATAGTGCGAGCGTAGAAAACTAGTAGTTTTTGATCTCTCGCGTCTAGTTCTTAGGGCTTGGTTCCAGTTGTTCGGTTCACTCCTGCAGTGGACGAGGAAATCCCCTCTGCTTTCTTGCTTTTAGCTTCGGTGAGGTGGATGTTTTGTGGGTTAGTAGGTTGTAATTTGTAGAGTGATTAGGGAGCTACGGGCTGCTGGGAAGTTTAGAGAACAACCGTGACTCCTGTCTGTGTAGGTACCTGAAAGAGAATATTAAGGTAGTGGTAAAGGAATGAAGAGAGAAGTAAGGAAGAGTAAAAAAATAAATAAATAAATAAAAAAAAAAAAAATAAATAAAATTAAAAATAAAAATAATAGTAATAATAATGTAGGGAAGAGGAAAGGGAAGGAGAATAAAAGAAGGGGTGAAGAGAGAAATGAGAACGAAAGAAAAGTATTTGGGAATTGCCCGAATGGTCGCGTGGGTTTGGTTCCTACAGAAGAATTAGTAGGTAATGTGGGTGTATTAAGGAGAGAGATAGTGAGTGGTAGTTAGGAGGGAGTTGGGGGTACTGAGGTTGGTGACTACCTGAGTACGTCCGTGGTAGTCCATGCGAGGTGACATAACTGTCTAATCGCCTCTTGAAAGAGTCGATTGAAGGAGCTATAACGATGTGTCGCGGTAAGGCATTCCATAAAGCACATACTCTCAGGGAGAAAAATTTGGACCTGAGTGTGGTGTTGGCTCTCTGGTGTGCTATCTTAAAGGGGTTTCCTCGTGAAGATCGTTCAGTTGCAGGCAAAATTGATTTGTTTGCATGGTCTGCCTGATGGGCGATCTTGTATGCCATAATGAGGTCACCCCTTTTCCTGCGATAACCCAAGGTAAATAGGTTGAGGTGTTTAAGTCTTTCAGGATACGTCTTTCCCCTTAGCCCCACAACTGATTTTGTTGCAGTTCTTTGTATTCTTTCAAGGAGATTAGAGTCTCTCTTGAGTGTTGGAGGAGCCACCGTATTGAAGACCTCTAGGTGCGGCCGCACGTAGGATTTGAAAATGGTGAGGAAGAGTTCGGGAGTGAGGGCGCCAAGCTGTCTACGCAGAAAGTGTAGAATGGCGTTCGCTCTGGTTGTCATACCTTTGTAGTTGGAGCTGGTGTCCAAGGTGTCGGAGAAGTTGAGCCCCAAATCTTTCTCCATGGACACTCTGGTGATAGCACGGTTGCTCAACATGTACTGGAAGTCGGTCGTACTTGCCTCATTTTTACTGATGTGCATTACTTTGCACTTTTCCAGTTGAAGCTCAGACCATTTTCCGACGACCAGAGCTCGAGTTGCTGCAAGTCCTTTTGTAGTGCTGCACAGTCGGCTTCTTCGTTTACCACCCTCCAAATTTTTATGTCGTCAGCGAAGAGGAGGATGGGTGAGGATATTTTGTCTGGCAGATCGTTGACAAAGAGGAGGAACAGAAGCGGTCCTAGGATTGCTCCTTGGGATACTCCTGACGTCGACGGTCTCCACTCCGACCTTATTCTGTTCACTTTAGTGCAGAACTGCCTCCCTTCCAGGTACTCCTTGAACCAAGAGAGTAGGGGTCCACTTATACCAGCTGACATGATCTTGTGAAGCAGTACTGTGGGTGGGACACTGTCAAATGCTTTGGCTAGGTCGAGAAATACAGCATGTACAGGTTTTCTATTATCCCAGCTTTGTGTCCAGTCGTCCCAGGCAGTTAGTAAGTTGGTGGCACATGAGCGACCACTACGAAAGCCGTGCTGAGCAGTGTGGACAGTGTTTTCTCTATTGAGGAATTCCCAGATGGTGTCAGCTACCAGGCTTTCCAACACTTTCGACACAATAGGGAGTAGGGCAATCGGCCTGTAGCTGCCAGGGTTTTTTCTGTCTCCTCCCTTGAAGATGGGTGACAAGATGGCACTCTTCCATTCTTTAGGGAGTTTGCACGAGTCTATTGAGTGCTCAAAGAGGTTGCGAAGTGGTTTGGTAAGCACCTCGGCGCAGTTTTTCAGAACCACTGGTTTCAGATTATCGCAGCCAGGGGACTTGCCCGGACGTAGCCTAGATAGCTTCTCGAACACCTTTTTCTCTGTAATAGAGACGTGACAGAGGTATTCGTTATTTGCGACCTGGTCGGTGTCGTGGCGAGTCGGTGTGGATCTTGTGTCAGTGCTGAGTTGGGCTTGGAAGTGTGAGCTCAAAAGCTCGGCAATCTCTAGACTGCTTAGCACACTCCCGTCATGGCCTGTGACAAGATTCACTCCCTTACTGGTCGACTTTCTTCTTGACATGAAGCGGTACAGGTTTTTGGGGTTGCTTTGTAACCTCGCTGCCAAGTTTGTTTGGTAGGAAAATCTGTCGTTACGCACTCTAATGTTACAGAGATTGCGAATCCTTTTATAGTTCAAGAAGTCAGACTCCCTGCGTGATGTAAGCCACTTGAACCAAGCCTGCTTCTTGCTCCGGATAAGCCTCTCTGTCCCACGCTTTAACCATGAGGTTCTCATTGATTGTCTGTGTGTTACTTCTGGTACACTGTGACTGATGGCCCCAGTGATTATTTTCTTCACCTCCAACCAGTGTTCATCTATTGTGAGATGAGTCCAGTCCACTGGCCATGATGCATTCATGAGGTAGTCCCTCATGGTCTCATAGTTGGCCTTGCTGTAGCAAGGGAAGGTGTTGGGCGTCTCCAGTTGCAGAGCCTCCCTAGTTATCATGGAGAAGGTGATTACAGCGTGGTCACTGAGGCCAAGGGGAGGTTGGATGCAAACATCCTCAATGAGAAGTTCATCGTTCGTCAGAACGTAGTCAAGGCGCGATGCGTTTCCGTTAGGTCCCCAGCGTGTAGCATCACCCACTTTCTCTGAGAGGCCAGCAGTCTTAATTGCATCCTTCAGCTTCTGATTGAAGGATCTGATGCGTCTCCCTTCCGTCTCGAAGAGGATGGACGGGGTGTTGAAGTCGCCGGCAATGACTACGGAATCGTAATTTGCAGAGGAAGTCGTTAAGATAGCCTTGATGATCATTTCCTTATGTGTAGGGGAGCAGGTGGGGGACCGATATATGACTCCGAGCAAATATTTGGTACTGTGGAGAGTGAAGTAGCACCATAGGGACTCTGGGAGCTGGGTTAAGGCCGTATCGCTAACCATCCTTGCCTTTAAACAAGAGTTTACGTAGATAGCCACTCCTCCTCCTGCTCTATGTTCCCTGTCCCTGCGGAAGAGTTCCATGCCAGTAACATGCATCTCTTCGTCGGAGATGTCCGATGAGAGCCAGGATTCGGTGATGAATATGATGTCGGAGTGCTGATGTGCACGCAGCGTCCTCATTTCTGCTACCTTCCCTCTTAGCCCCCTAACGTTGCTGTACATACATATTAGAGTGTGCCTGGTGAGGGGGAGGTCTGGTTGTGTATTTTCGCAGGATGACAGCTTATGTGGTTGGGTCTACCCTCGCCAGTCCTCATAGGACTGGCATTGTTCCGTTTTTTGGTGTTTCGTTATTAACTTGGGTGGGGGCTGTGGCAGTGGTAGCTTCTTTACTTGATGTATCTAACTCACTGGTCAGCGCCTGTGTGACGACCACTGACTCCAGGGTCTTGGTGGTTGTCGTCTCTCCTCTTGCCTTGTGGGTCTAGGCTTACTTTCACATATACGTATTGAGCCACCCATGCGATCCTTCGCATTATACCATGCCTGTAGAACGTCTGTGAGGGAGGCATGTGAGTCGAACTGGACGGCGAGTAGTCTGGGATTGGGTATGGTCTTCAGGTGCGCTGGCCTTGGCAGTCTACTGACGCTGTTGACCTTCTTGCTAAAATACTTGGTAGTTCATTTTAGATGAACGTTACTACTTGGCTTATTGCAGTTTCATGAGCTCCGGAGAGCAACGAAACTGATAAGAAGATAAGCTGAAAATTTCAGTTTTCACTTCTTTAAAAGCATCTGTAAGAAAGCACCAGGGGGTTAATAAGAAGGGAAGCGTGAGATACCCGCGAGAAGAGCCGGAGAAAAGAGGCGCAATCCAGTGGTGTATGCGAGTGAGCTGCCTGAGGGAGTGTCGTTCCAGGACCATGAGTCTCGCTCTGCTAGGATGTTCTACGCAGTGGCCAATCTTGTATGGGGCTACTAGGTCCCCTCTTTTCCTCGGATAGTCCAAAGCGAAGAAGTTTAGTTTTCTAGGACATAGTACATAGTTTTTACCCATCAGTTCGACAACCAACCTTGTTGCAGCTCTTTGCACCTTCTCGAGAGTGCTCGCATCCACCCTCAGTGGAGGAGGGGCTACCTTAGGTGTGGCCCAACATAGATTCTAAATACCGTGAGGAATAATTCTGGTGTAAGTGCTCCAAACTGCCCTCTTGGAGTGTGCGCGGTGGCGTTAGCCTTTGCCGCCATTGCCTTACAGTTAGCACTGCTATTCAGTTTGTCAGAAAAGTTCGGTCCTAGATCCTTCTCTGCGGATGCCCTGATGATTGTACAGCGGCTGAGCGTGTGGTCGGTTTTCATCGCTCCCGGTATGCGAAGTTGCACCGATTTACACTTCTCCACGTTTAAGCTCAAAACACTCACATCTGATCAGCACCTGATCTTCAGCAGACCATCTTGAAGTGTCTCAGGATCCACTTTGTCACCTGCCTTCTTCCATATTTTGACATCGTCCGCAAATAGGAGGATAGACGAGGAGATTTGAGTGATAAAGGTAGGAGTGGCCCACGGATCGCTCCTTGAGAAACTCCTGTTCTGGCACTCCTCCAGACCAAACTTGTTCTGCTTACTTTGATACGGAATTCTCTGCCCCCAAGGTATGCTGTACACCATGCTGATTTAGTTCATTCATATTCACTTTCGCAAGTTTGGCAAGCATAGTGTGGTGTAGGACGCTTTTGAAAGTCTGGGATGAGTCTAGAGAGATAACGTGGGCTGGTTGCTTGTTGTTCTACCTAGCGTCCCATTCATCTAAAATGGTCATCACGCTTGTGTCACATGACCTTCCGGTTCTGAAGC